CGCCACTATCTAAGTCATGAAAGATCATACAAAACCAAAAAAAGAAAAAATATCTGTGAATCAACACAAAACAATGAGAACTGCCACATGTGGGCGTGACAGTGCTGGCTGCCGCGCATAGGCGCGGCAGTGACAGTGATTGCTTCCGCTCATAGCCGCGACAGTAGCTGGTGTCGCGCAAGTGATGGGGAGGTGCCGCGTAATTTCTAGAATAGTTATGCAATGATTATTTAATGTCTACGTTGTGCCAGGATAGAAAGGAGACGTGTGCTAACATAGGAAAGCGGTTAAACCACAAAAAAGGTGGTTAAAAGCTGTGGGAGAACGGTTTCAAGCATGACGAAACGTGGCAGAAACCGTCCCTTTAGCCACGTCAGCCTACACTAACGCGCTAATAGTCATGGCAGCGAAGACTGACGCGCCCAAGGAACATGTGATGGGTGGTTATTTGGTTCCCGTTTTAACAGTTATAGGCCCCTATCCCTATAAATACTTTCCTAGACACGAAGTAAAGACAGAGAGCAGAATATAGCAGAAAAAAGCCTAAGATTTTTTTGGTGAATTGGAACAAGAGAGAGAGTCTTCATTCCTCACAATTGTTTCTAAAGTTTAGTGATTCCTAGAGATCTAAGCTCTGACTTGATCTTCGGAAGAGTGAACATCTTATATCGATAAGATATTCGATTTAAATTTTTACTTCGATAAACAAAGAAAGAATTCCTAAAACCCTTCACAATCTGTGAATCGGTGGTCCACGAGCCAAAGCAGAGCCAAAGCACACGAGCCAAAGCACTCCTGGCACAGGCAAAGTCCCACAAAACAAAAATTAATAAATAATTTCTGTGTTATTTTCTAGAGAGTTGTAATTTTCTTTTTATTGTGTAAAAGAAGTCCTATAAAAAAACTATTTTCTTTTGAATTTATTGTAATCGATCGAAGATACAATGAGTTCCACAATAGCAACAACTTTCGAAGAAAACAAACTAGTTTCTTCGAACTAAAATTTCACAACCGATACAGGCGTAGTCCTCGAATATGAGTGTGTTTATCAATGAAGAGATCGAATATGGGTTCGATCAAGATTGTGATCAATGCCGAGGTCGTCGTCTGAGATACTTCAAAATTAGTGCTTTGATCTGAAATTAGTGCTTTGATCAAGCAAAATTCGAGGACTACGCCTGTATCGGTTGCGAAATTTCAGTTCGAAGAAACTAGTTTGTTTTCTTCAAAAGTTGATGCTATTGTGGAACTCATTGTATCTTCGGTCGATTACAACAAATTCAAAAGAAAATAGTCTTTTTATAAGACTTTTTTTACACAATAAAAAGAAAATTATAACTCTCTAGAAAATAACACAGAAATTGTTTATTGATTTCTGTTTTGTGGGACTTTGCCTGTGCCGGGAGTGCTTTGGCTCGTAAACCACCGATTCATAGATTGTGAAGGGCTTTAGGGATTCTTTCTTCGTTTATCAAAGTAAAAATTTGAAGCGAATATCTTATCGATGTAAGATGTTCAATCTTCCGAAGATCAAATCAGAGCTTAGATCTCTAGGAATCACTAAAACTTTAGAAACAATTATGAGGAATGAAGACTCTCTCTTGTTCCAATTCACCAAAAAAGCGTAGGCTTTTTTCTGCTATATTCTGCTCTCTGTCTTTACTTCGTTTCTAGGAAAGTATTTATAGGGATAGGGGCCTCTAACTGTTGAAACGGGAGCCAAATAACCACCCATCACATGTTCCTTGGGCACGTTAGTCTTCGCTGCCGCTGCTATTAGCGCGTCAGTGCAGGCTGGCGCGGCTAAAGGGACGGTTTCTGCCACGTTCCGTCATGCTTGAAACCGTTCTCCCATGGCTTTTAACCATCTTTTTTCGTGGTTTAACCGCTTGCCCATGTCAGCACACATCTCCTTTCTATCCTGGCACCACGTGGACTTTAAAAAATCATCGCATAATTGTTCTAGAAATGTTCTAGAAATTACGCGGCACCTCCCCATCACTTGCGCGACACCAGCTACAACCACAGCTATGCGCGGCAGCAATCACTGCCGCGCCTATGCACGACAGCCAGCACTGTCGCACCCACATGTGGCAGTTCTCATTGTTTTGTGTTAATTCACAGATCCTTTTGCTTCTTTTGGTTTTGTATGATCTTTCATGACTTAGATAGTGGCGTTTATCATCTCCTTTTTGTCTTGAATAGAATTTGGTCGTCCATAAGTATTTTTTGATGCCTACAGATACCTCGTCCAAAGTATCCCAGACTCGTTCTTTTATAGAGGAGTCTGGGACACTTGGGATAAGATAGGTCTTATTTGCAATCTCTTCAGTGCTTAGTTGAGGAGATCTTGTAGAAGGACCTATGAATGACTTCAACTCTTGACTTCTTCTTCTTTTAGTCTACTCAGTGCTTTGTAGAATAGCTAAAATTCTCCCGATGCTGCGTTTATCGCTTGACCGTTGTTGAAGTCTTGAACTAAAATTAGTGCTTTGATCTGCATTTTTATTTTCTTGTTGCTGAACCAATATCGGACTGATTGTCAACGCATCAGCCTTCATGAGGACATAGTTTACACTCATAGGCTTTATCGGAGTGTTCGGGAAATAGTTTAACCTCGTATACCCATTGGGAGGTTCAAGGAGATGCAGTTTATCTTATCGGAGTGTTCGGGAAATAGTTTAACCTCGTATACCCATTGGGAGGTTCAAGGAGATGCAGTTTATACTCATATACTCATCGGAGTTCTGTTTAACCTCGTATACCCATTGGGAGGTTCAAGGAGATGCAGTTTATACTCATATACTCATCGGAGTTCTCAGGCATACACCCCAAATATAATGGAAGATATACATATACAAATACCCATGGAATCACTGTGTGCGTGCGGCGCCTTTGCGCTTCAGCATTGACTGTCACGCTCACGCGCGTCAGCGTCGACTGCCGTGCTAATGCACGTCAGCGTCGACTGCCGTGCGCGAGCATGTCAGCATCGACTGTCATGGGCAGAGACGGCCAGTCGGGTTTATAACCCAATCGTTGGACTTTTTTTAGGTCATTCTTCCCCGCTCCTCTGAGTTTGAAACTCTACCTAAACACCTATAAAAGCGTTCTTTGGCTCTTCCGCTCCTCACCTCTTCATATTTGGGTGATATTCAAACAATATCTAGGGTTTCAAGTGTTTTTCTCGATTTTCAAGCTTCCTCTTCGATTCTTCGACCCTCCAAGCTCGGTTCTTTTTGATCTTTGGTAAAACCGCACACCCCTCTTGTATTTTGGGTTCATTTTGCTTTTTACCTTGAGATCTCACCCCGAAACCCTAATTTTCCTTGCTTTTTAGGTTGATTCCACCATGTCTCCTAAGAGATCTCGCATTCTAAAGGGCAAATCTGTGGCCCAAGTGTCGGAAGAGGTCAAGGCCGCTGCCTCTTCTTTCGGAGGTAATCTTTTCGTGCATCTTCTTCATTTAAATTCAAAATTAGTACCGATATCCTCGTTTGCCTCCTTTGAGAGTCATCCGGGAAGAGTTGACATCCTCCTTCGAGGGGATTGACACTACTAAATTACATATCTTGTTTAATCAAGACATATACCATGGCCAAAATACGAGTTTGGCTCAAACTCGTGCTTTTTTCGAAGCCAACGGCCGCTGCTCCATTACCGCGACAGTGTTCGCAGGGAAAATGGTTTTCTTCTTCATTGAAATAATTGTCATCTTGGGTTACAAAAGATCCGATCTTTTTTAGATCCGGTTATAATTAAATCAAAAAAAAAAGAAAAATTACAACTTTCCTTATTTGTCGAACGAATCGCGAGATCCTGTTTTGCGGTCTCTCGCTTTTGTGGGTTCTTTGCCGACGCCGGGGTTAATCCGTGGACCACCGCGCGATCTAGATCCGGTCGGATCTACACGATTATACAGGTATTATTCCACGAAGGGAATAATAGCCGGGAGGGATTAGTCCACCAAGGGAATAATCGCTCAGATCTCGGGATCTAAGACCAAGCTTAGATCCGGAGTGATATCGTGTAGATCTCAGATCTGTTCTTTGTCTCCTCTCGAAATCCTGCCTTTTCTGACGTAGGTGCTCGCCGAGGATCAGATCTGTACGTGCAAGTCTTCAGGTCTTCAAAGCTCCGAGTTCACTCTTCAATCCGGCAGAGTTTTGGCTCTTGAAATTCCAACCCCTTCAAATAAACAACCCCTTGGCCTATTTATAGGCTCTCAACACTGTGCCCGTGCCCGTGTGCACGTGTGGCCAACATCCAAGCCGTCGGCCACCTCAAGGTGGCTCGGCTCATGCCGAGCCACCCTGAGGTGGCTCGGCCACCCCAGGGGGTGGCTCGGCCACCCGGCCGAGCCCCTCTAGGTGGTGGGTTTGGTTGTTTTCCGTCTTTCGGTCTTGTCCGTGATTCGGTTGTGCGGTTGATTGACTCGTTGACCTGATTTGGCAGTAAATCTGGATCCTGATTAGGCAGTAAATCCACTTCTGAATCTGAGTCCGAAACTGATCTTGATTCGATCGTGATTCGTCTGAGTCTGTTCTTGGTTGGATGACTCGTTGATTCTTTGACACTTGGCTTGATTCCGAACGCGTATGGATGCATTCTGTCGCTTCTGTGCGATTCGTCGATCTCGTCGCCTCGTTGGTTCGTCGGTTTATGCCGAACTGTGCTAAGGGACCTATAAGCAATTTTATATGCCTACAGATACCCCCTCCAAAGTATTTCAGTCTCGTTCTTTTATAGAAGAGTCTGGAATACTTTGGATATGATCGTCCCCACCTTTAGTCGGTGTAACGGGACCTTTGGAATGATCTCCGTTCTTGATTCCTTCAATCTTCCAGGTTATTGAAACTGACTATGGTTTGATATTTCAGGGACCACAGTTGACCAGGATGAAGAGTTCAGTCCCCCTTCCCAGGCGAGACCTTCGATTATTGTCCCTACTGCTAGGCGGAAGAGATTAGCCCGCAAGCCGCGTGTAGCTTCCCGAGCATCTGATATGGACTTGGCTGGTGATGATCCTGCTAGTGACGGAGGTAACATCTACTCTGTAAACCACCTTCTTGGTTATTCGGAACATTGACTCATGCTTTTCCATCTCTATATAGGAGAGCGTGGAGAGAGCGAAATGAGTCCCGATTCCGTTCCTGTGTCTCCTGGTGAGCCTGACCCGCTGCCCCAGTTAAAAAGGCCTACAGGGGTTGCCGACATTAGGGAGGATAGCAATGTAGGACCTGATTCCGCAGATCCAGGTACATCTACTATTGACAATGTATCTTTTAGATGGTATACAAAAGAATTTGTGCATCCTCTAATCATCTCTGTACATCTTGCTTCTTCAGATAACTTGCAGGAGGCATACGTGGATTTTGGGAATAAAGAGGCTAACGCATCCATAAGGGGTAACTCATTTTTGTTGGTTGTAGTCTCTTTATTCTTCTTTGGTACTTATATTCTTTTACATCAGATTTCTCCATTGATGATTTTGACGAGGAAGGCTTGATCGCGGAGACTCCTACACTCCACTTCATGTATAGCTCTCCTCAATTTGATGGCCAGTTACCCGGAGATATATTTTCCGAGCCTACGTTCGATAAGAATCTTGAGGATGATTCTTTCGAAGGTATATGCCTCCTCCCAAATTAATTATAGGACTAGCCAATTTTGACTAATGCAGCTATAATGTGATGCCTTTGAGAATTCTGACTTGTATTTAACAGGAGTTTTTGTTGAGAATGACCCTGTTGAGCCGGCTATGGGACCAACTACACCAGTTGATACACCCCCAGCCGTTACACCTCCACCACCCCCAGTGACTCAAGAGGGTATGAATACTATTTACTTACTCTTCAAGGTCTTTTTCTGACGGTTTTTTTTTATCGTGCAGGGAATTCTTCTCGTCTTCATATTCTGGCGAGGGAGTTGTTATCTGATGATGATCCTGAGAAGATTGTCATCTGTATAGAAGTTCGCTCCTTCTTCTCTTTCATGAATGCTATGATTGGCAAGCTTTTCCATGGTGGACTTTCTCTTCGCCAATTCAAGCCTTTCCTTGATTCTAAAGTCAATTTGATAAGGGAAGCGGGACATCCAGATTTGGCACAGGCTATAGTTGATGACCTTGATTGCCTAGAGCATGAGTTTCAGATGTTTCGTGAGCTCCGAGATGCAGGTGTTCCTCATTTATTGCTGCCGAGCTGGATACCCGCTTACAGTCATCACGCGAGACTCAGATTTTTGCTGATCTCGAGATTCAGATGCAGCGGGGCCGAGTAGATCGAGTTAAGACGAGTCTTGCTACTAAATTATCTTCGCTTGCCGAGCTCGATCTTTCTATTACCTCCTGTGCGACCGAGATAGACCAGCTCAGAAGAACACTCCGTGAAAAAGAGGAGACTTTGGATATTCTTCAGATGACGAAAGCACAGGCTCAGCAAACCCACACTGCTTTATCTGATGAGTTGAGATCCCTGGAGCAGAAGCTAGCCGAGATGGAAGAGATCGCTGCGAGGACTTCAGCCACCACCGAGGAGTCCATCAGAGCTGAACTTAGGCAAGCTTATGATGAAAAGCTTTCTAAGATCAGTCAGCAGATTTTTGGTCATGGTCTTGATGTATGATTTTGTTTGCTGAACACTTTGACTTTTGATTCTCTTAGTGAAGCTTGCTTTCGTCTTTATTATGATTCGTCATTCCATTTGAAATGATTAACCATAATACTTATAGGATTTTTGGCAAACCCTCAGCCATCAACGAGTTTGATGAGCCTTTACCGACTACCGTTTGAGTCGGGCTAGCATGCGGATTGTTTAAATCCGTTCGCATGTAACGTTATGCTCGGAGATTGAATTCTCCGAGACTTTATGCTATGATGTCGAATACATAGACTTCGCCATTGTTACGGGAATAGGCTACCCGGCGACACGTGTTAGGTGTTGACTTTAGGATTTTTGGCTAACCCCCAGCCTTCAACGGATTTGATTAGCCTTTACCGACTACCGTTTGAGTCGGGCTAGCATGCGGATTGTCTAAATCCGTTCGCATGTAACGTTGCGCTAAAGGAATGAACTCCCTTAGACTTTGTGCTACGACATTGAATACGTAGACTTCGCCATTGTCATGGGAATAGGCTACCCAGTAACGTGTATTAGACACTGACTTATTCCTACTTAGGCTTCGGGATAAAATACCCCAGAATCGAACTCTGGTGTCTTTTTCTTCGGAGAAAGACTAACCCGGCGGCGCGTATTAGGCGTCGACATATCCTTTCTTGGGATTCAGGATGAAATTCCCCATACGTGTAAGGCATGGATTTTGGTGTTATTAATAACAACCTGCCACAATGTTGAATATGTGAACGGGTGTTCTTTTTAACGGTTAAGAACTAACCGCCAGCGTGTGTTAGGCGCAGACTTAACCTTGCATAGGTTTCAGGATAACATACCCCAGAATCAAAGTTTGGTGTCTTTTTCCTCGGAGAAAGACTAAACCGGCAGCGCGTGTTAGGCGCAGACTTATCCCTGCTTAGGCCCAGAATCGAACTCTGGTGTCTTTTTCTTCGGAGAAAGAGTAAACCGGCAGCGCGTGTTAGGCGCAGACTTATCCCTGCTTAGGATTCGGGATAAACTTCCTAGGATGAATCCTATATTGACAAATTTTGGAAAGATCGGTGCGGGAAAGGAAGAATTTTATATTCTATTTCCCGATCTTCTTTTAGGGTGAAGGCAAACCCGAATAACAAGGAAGGAAGAATTTTATATTCTATTCCTTGATTATGGAAAGGAAGAATTTTATATTTTATTTCCAGCGAAGAAGAAACTAGAAGTGGGGTGTACACTCCGAGAGTCTGGAAGATGTAGATAAAGTTACATTTTATAGGACTGGTTATCTAATCTGAAGATGAGTTCTTCGTTTATCGAAGTGAAGTTTTCAACTCCGGTTATAACCATGAAAAAGGTTTAACCAAAGAGAAGAAGAAAGGAGTTCTTTCGTTTATCCGAAAGGGGACTCCGAACTGAAAGCGGGCCTCTTGTTCATGGAAAGAATCAAGAGGGCCAGAAAAACATTTTTGGTGGACTCACTGTCAATTGAAATCGATCAGTGAGGGATTTTGGTGGTGAAAATGATTTTGGGTTATCCTCTAGAATATTAAGTGTAATATTCTTTAAGGAACTTCCCGATAAATGAGTTATCCTGAAGGTACTAAGGATAGTACTTTTTCAGAAACTTCCCATTTATTGGCATCAATTGCCGGGTGCCTTCTTGAGTAATTAGGCGATATGCGCCGTTTGAGTAGACTGTGTCTATTACAAACGGTCCCTCCCATTTGGGTTCGAATTTACCTTTCTTCTTGGAAGTGAGGATTATTGGTCGGCGAGCAGCGAGGACCAGATCTCCTTCCTTGAAGCTTCTCTATCGGACTCTTTTGTTAAAAGCCCTAGACATCCTGGCCTGATAAAACTCAATTTGCTGTTGAGCATCCAAGCGCTTTTCATCCAGCCTCTCAAGCTCTTCGAGACGCTTCTGATGCTGTTCTTCTGTCGTCATCTCTGTTGCGAGGGCGATCCGAAGGGATGGAATCTGAATTTCCAGCGGTAGCACAGCTTCACATCCGTATACCAGCGAATACGGGGTGGCACCTGTGGGCGTGCGTATGGTGGTGCGGTAAGCCCAGAGTGCCTCACCGAGTTTATCGTCCCAGTCTCGTTTATTGGTCTTCACGAGCTTGGACAAGATCTTAATGATCGTCTTGTTAAACGCCTCCGCTAATCCATTCGCGGCGGGATAATAAGGTGTTGATGAAACGTCTTCAATTTTGAACTTGTCACAAAATCTGATGAAGGCGTTGCTTATAAATTGCGGACCGTTGTCATGAATGATCCTTCTTGGCACGCCGTGTCTGTAGATGACATGATGCTTGATGAAATTGATGACGTTGTTCGTCTTTACTTCTTTAAGCGGAATTGCTTCAGCCCACTTTGAGAAGTAATCCGTGATCGCCAGAATGAATCGATCGCCTTTGACTGAGGGGGGAAAAATAGGACCAACAATGTCCATGCCCCATACTTCGAACGGCCATGACGTGGTTGATGTGTGCAACTGCTCTGGCGGTTGATGCATATAATTTGCATGTATCTGGCAAGCGTGGCATTCTCGTGCGTATTCGATTGCGTCACGAACCATCGTTGGCCAGAAATATCCCATCCTCCTGATGCGATCATACAGTTTGGGACCGGGCTGATGCGCACCACATTCTCCTTCGTGCGCTTCCTTAAGAACTTCTTCTGCTTCTTTGTTCGAAAGGCATCGGAGTAATAAACCATCGTATCCCCTACGGTATAACGTATGGGTCTCGGCATTATAAAAGAATCTTGGCGCTCTTCGGCGAATTGATTCCCTTTCTTTTACGTCTTCTGGCAGAATACCATACTGGACGTAGTCAATGATGGGAAAACGCCAATCTCGGGACTCAGACCCAATTTGAGTTGAATTCACCTCCTTGGCGTTTACGTTTCCGTCATCTTCCTCTTCAATATCCCTACTGTATATGGGTACGCAGAGTTGATGCGTCCGTACTGTGACTAACAGCTCAGCTTCGGGAGGCTGTGCCAGTGATACTGCTAGTGCCGCCAGTGCGTCCGCATAAGCGTTCTGGAGACGAGGGATGTATTCAATAAAGAATTCTTCAAAAGATTCTGCCATTTTGATGGCTTCCTGGTGGTACGGGATCAGGTCTTGATTCCTGACTTCATACTCACCGCGAACTTGGTTGACTATCAATTGCGAATCTCCAAAAGCTTCGAGATATTCGACCCCCAGCTCTTTGGCGAAACTGAGTCCAATGAGAAGCGCGTTGTATTCGGCAACATTATTGGAGCACGGACTAGTCAACGAATAAGCCCGAGGCATCACGTGCTTTCCAGGGGAGATTAAGACGACTCCAACTCCAGAGGAAACTGTAGGACATCCCGGGGTTATTACTCTATTAACTGCCCTTGAGGCACCATCGAAGTATAATTGCCATACTTGTTGGTGTGATGTGGTGTTAACCTCGTGGGTTTCATCCGGCAAGTCATCATATACTTCTGCCGTATCTGTGGTCGGGTTTGCCGCCAAAAGGTCACAAATCGCCTGTCCTTTTATCGACTTCTGCTGCTTGAAGTGCAAATCGTATTGGGACAAGAGAAGGGCCCACTTCGCTAGTCGCCAATTCATAGAGGCCGGTTGCGTCATAAACACCCGTACTGGATTAACGTTGGAGATAACGTAGATCGTCTGTCCCACCAGGTAATGCCGCATCTTTTGCATCGCAAATACCAATGCAAGGCATTCTTTCTCAATCATCGGATATCGAGACTCAGCGCCTACCAAGGTCCGACTGAGGTAATAAACTGCCTGTTCGTGACCGTTATCATCGTCTTGCGCTAGTAAGGCACTTA